TAAAGGACCGTCGTATTCATCATAATCATCATCATTACAGCCTTTAATAAGTCTACAGCTGGAAATAGACTTCCCCAAAGGAACGTCCCAAAACACGGTCCTTATGCCCCTGCATCCATGTACTTTCTACACCTCTTACCAGTTCGTCACTTCATCCAGTGGGGACCGCCCACAAAAATCTAAATTATATTGCCTTATTATTTAGATTTCTGTGGGGCCGCCCCTATTGGTATCATTAAAAAAGTAATTTCTCCTTTGATATTTGTACAGTAACAAATTTACTCATAATGTAAGTAAAGTATTATTTTTGCACGTTAAAATTATGAAATCTGCTATCACCAGCAATATTTCCGTACCGAAATTCCTCAGAGGCATTTAAGCGAGGGTAGCCTAACAGTTAAGAGTACGGATCATGGACGAGCTTACGAGCTCAAATCTGCAATTCGCCTATAGTTGTGAATTACCATTATACAAGCATTTTATTGGGAGTGGTTAACTGGAATATAGGTAATGATTTTTTATTGGAGAAGTTAACTGGAATATAGAAAAGATTTTGAATTGACGTAATGATTGTAAATTTTTTTTAATTGAAGAAAGTAGTGTCAGCTGCCACAAAATTCAATTGCGGCTAGTCTTTTAGTTTAACTTAATGACATGTAAACATACTTTTGCAAAAGTCAGTTAGCAAATTAATGCAATCCATGACATCAAAACAGTTGTCAGTCATTGCGATCATAAAATCATGAAGGATAATAGCTTAGAAAATAGGCAGGCATGTTTCGCTTTAAAATTAGAAACTTTGATTACGATTGAGTGATTGTTTTAGCTACTTTTTTAACTGTTAATAATAAAGTTACAGCCTATATATAGCCCACGGCTGGGCACAGGTCTCCTCTAATTTTGAGAGGGTTTTAGGGCAAGGAAGTATCCGCCGCGCTGCCCCAAAGCGTGTTCCGCGAACTTTACATTTCTTTGAAATAATTTATTTTTCTTATTTCTCAAACTTGCAGGTTGGCTCACAATGTTTTCCTCTACCGCCGAGCATGTGGTAAATCAGCACATTAAAATGCTATTAAAATTTTCGTTGGTGCCGACGGAGATCGAACCAGGATTGCTCGCGTACTGTGAAATTTACTGTCGTCTAGCCCCTAAACCACCATGGCTCCTATAATTTACTTTTTACAATCTTACAAATACTTTTTAATGTATACTTTTTATTGTAATTACTAATGTAATTGTAATTTTATTATAAATAAATCTTTGAATAGTTTTTTATTAAGTACATTCAAGTATTCAATTTATGATATCTACCAGGCAAAGACAGCTGTTCAGCAAAGAAACAATCAACCCATGTATTGTGAGCAAATTTCAATGGTGGAAATGTTTCCTAACATGAATCAACTTATACGTTTCGACGTGTGTTCAGCGGATGGGTGCTTCAACAAAATTCTTTCAAGTGCTCATTTGACGTTGGGTCAAATATCGCATGACGGGGAGAACGGTTAGCCTTTGTTAAAAATAATGTTGCCAAGGAAGTAATAGTATTTACTATTGTGGAATGAAGTTTTGCCATATTGAATATAAAAATTATACGATGAATTCGTTCTTCAAAGATTAGTTCAAAAGAAGTAATTTGTGTGTTGAATGTTAAAATTTACAACCATTATATATATATATATATATATATATATATATATATATATATATATATATAATACGTGGTGGAGCCATGCGTGCAGTTATATTAGTAGTATAGTTGTAGCACGAGTGGGTCGGCTCGACGGGGAAGGACCACACTCTCACAGAATACCAGCGTAAAATAATAGCTTAATGCTGCTGTGTTTCGTATGGTGAGTGTAGAGAACTGGAGGCCCTTTTCACTGGAAACGAGGTATCCCATCTTAGTCTTCATGGGTTACAACGCATCCGAATTTTGATTTGTAATAGAGGATAGATGTAGATGTCTATGGGCCGCAGCAACCACTTACCATCAGGTGGACTGTGTGCTCGTTTGTCACCCTATCCTATAAAAAAATATTTTATGAAAACAACCATTCAATATTTTTTAATGTTTTATTAAGTATTTTTATTTTGCTTTATAGGATTTCTACCGACATTTGGACCATCTTTTCTTCATATGTATGGAAATACGTGCGCTAATAGTTTATCAGTTACATCTGAAGACGGACCATATCACCGAGGGGCTTTACTATTGGCTCTCAAGACTATAGTACCTTTTTACGAACAGAATATTAGGACTACTAACGTGGAGCCAGTGGGCCATATTCGACCTGTAATAAATTAGATATTATATTTCAATCATTCATTATTATCAATACAATACAATTACAACATGACGTAAACTCTCACAGCAGTGAAACTGAAGAGATACGACGAACGTTTTCTTTTTAGCGGTAAACGCACAAATTTGTGCCTTATGGGGACTGAACTGGATTAGATTTAGACGGGATAAACTTGTGTCATAAAGTTTATCCCGGTACTCGTCGACGCTTTCCGGAGAAATATCGACACGGCCGGTGTACAAAGCATCACCAGTGCTGTCGTCCGCATAGAAATGAATGTTACCGTTACTGGTTTGCAACATATCATTGATATGCATAAGAAACAGCGTTGGTGACAGCATGCAGCCATGAGGAACACCAGCGTTAATGGGCTGACAATCGGAGCATGCACCGTCTACTACGACCTTGATCCTCCAATCTGCAAGAAAACTGGTGATACAATTGCACAATTTCTCGGGAATCCCATAGGAAGGAAGCTTTGTTAGAAGCGCTTTGTGCCAAACTAACGGCCAACACCTCCCCCTTGGACTCTACTTCTTCCACCCATCTATGAAAATTCTAATGAGTCTAGTTGCACAATGATGAACATGGGAGGGGAGGAATTCAATCATGTTATAACCATTGATATAAATAACAAGACATGGCCCTGCGAACAAAAGTTGTTCGCGGTTTAAACATAGAATAAATCAGCGCCATCTCTTAAATACTCATGAACTACCACGGAACCATTGTTTTCACTTATGATTTTTAACCCTAGAACTTGTAGAAATACTCCTTAAATTATCGTAAAAAAGCCACCTATATTTCAATACTTTAAGAACAACATCATTGCAAGCTTTGAATATCATTTTACGATAAAAAATCTTGAGGTTTGTAATGAAAAAGACGTTCTCATTTTCAAATTATAACAGCACTTTACATGAATAACGAATATGTAACTAAGTAAAAATATATCATTATTCTATTCTATTTATCATATTATTTATTAAAGTTAAAAAAATTTCGATAAATCTTTAAAAAATACATTGGATTGAAAAAAAATCAATGTTACATGAAGTTCGGTTTTGCCCCAAACTATCCAAAATCTTGACAACTTGAAGAAACACCTAAAGCCCTACGTAGATTAGTAAATTTACTCTAAAATAGTCCAAAATATTTAAAAGTGGAAACACTGCACGGACGCACGGCACGCATTGGTGGTCGCGTTGGTGCTCCACAAATATTTTAGCACCAATGAGTCGGTACCATTTTTTTGGTAAATGACCCTGCAGCAGATCCGCAGTAGTATAATAAGCCTATCGTTATAACTGCGCACATTCTTTGATAATAAGGTACATTATCTTAAAGAAAACTGAGAAGTTTTTTTTTACCTGTGCTCGATATCGACAAGATTAGTTTCAACTAAATCAGGTTCATTATTTTAGAACGCCACTTTACTAAATCTAACGCTGCTGGGTGGTATTTTGCAGCATAATATGTCTATATATGAAAGCAGTATTCAGATCACGATCGGATTTGCACTTTATGGGTTTAGGGTAAGAAACTGAATTAAGCTTATTAACTTGAAGTACCGCCGCACCTCAACCAGGACGTCTAGTTTCCTTAGACTCAATGAACAGTTTAAATTAGGGTTTGAAAAATTATTTTCTTAATTTCTTCCAATACAAAGAAGTAGTAGTAGAATACAAATAAAAAGAAAATTAGCTGGTCATTTTTTTGCTATACACTTGTTTTAGATGCATTATTCAATATTCTAGGAAGATCTTTGGATATCCGACGACTTTTGTATATTCTGTCCAATCATGGAAGTATCAATGGTCGATAGTCAAATAGCATCAAAGACTTGCGGTATTGCGATCACTATTGGCGACGTCTACTGCGAACACAGAGCTGATGAAGGTTCGGTATATTTTGACAATTAATTGTTAGTAATTTTATTTTGATTATTTATTTGAGTTCTTTTCATTAGTTCGTGTAACGTAGTGTATTTTCGTATTACTTCTGCGAATGATTAAGCGTTTTGCTACTTCGTTCATGAACTCAGTCTAAAAAAGAAAAATAGAACACTGCATGCGGTTCAAGTAAGTGAAATGTGTTCAAAATGTTGTAAGAACAAGCACGCATGTACAAATATGAATCTAAAAATCATGGTTTTAGATGAATACGTGTAAGTTCAGCAGTGTAATTTTACAAGCTGATAAAGAAATAAAGATGAAAAATGTGTGTATGAGTGCGCGTCAAGAAAAGAACATGGTTTGACGTAAGTTATCCACTCCATGGGCTGACTGGTAGAGAATGCTTCAAGGCATTATGTCCACCCTTTGTATTATTTTGTTTTAAGGAATACAATAAAGAATAAATAAATAAATAAATAGCTTGTGAAGTACGTAGTGTTCTATCTATCTTTCTTTGTAGATCTGAATACATCATGAAGCGATGCTTTTATTAAGCAATTTCTTCCATTTGACTATTTAGACTCTCCTACATGCCTTCTCGTCGTCTCCCAATCCGAAAGTGTTAGAAACAAGATGTTACTTCAAGCAAAACTTCATAGAACATAAGATAATAACGATGGATATATTGATGAATATTGTAAACGAATATTGTAGTTATGAAAGCTCATTCTTTGAAAATTTGACAAAATTTTTTTATAATAAAAAGCTTAAACAATTATTTTATTTTTCAGAGTTCTTAATAATGATGGAGGAAATAAGTGAGTGTCTTAAACGTGAGTCAAAACTATTTTCCCAATGATGCACCTATAAACTAAAAAAAACTGATGTTTTATTTAGAGCAACGTAAGCTTCATTACACGGGGTGCCTGGATATAACCAGAAATTCTAACGTGTATGGTCACATTGAGTTTTCTAACGCAATGCCCGTACTCCAACTGGCTGCACGGCTGCCGGATTTCAGATTCAGAATGTACAGAAACAACATGGTTAATTCAATTATACATCGTATTGTAAGTAAGCGTTTCTTATCTCTATAATATGTTACTTATTTTACTTTTAACAGCGCGTGACAGTTAACCGCTGGGTATAAACAACATGCACAATACCGGGGTTGCAACGTCATGCTTTCCAGGTGGTTTGGTGATCACGGTATCAGATAACTTTGAGGCTGCTGTCCGTCATAGATCTTAAATTTTACAAATGGTGTACTAAAGATGTTTTATACCACTATTTTTTGAAACTTATTTGACCTTTCAAGAATTTTGCATAGTCGCCTCTTACTGTAAACAAGCGACAACAGATTATCTCATCGTTTATTAAATATTGCTCCCAATGAAAATCTTATTGTACTCGTAGAAAAAATGAATTTAAGAGTAACAGTTTAAATTAAACTGTAATTGGCTTGGACTGTCTAAGTGATCAATAATCCAATTTTGACGACTAAATGGCATCCACAAAAAGAGTCATTTCAAAAAAAACTCCAAGTGATGGAATATACCTTCATTAGTCTTACAACAATGTATTGAGATATAGGTAATCAGAGCAGAATGGCAATTAGCACAACAATAAGAGCAGCGTGAAAATGACATCTGGTAGTGGAAGATATGTAATGTGACCGCCCTACTAACATGTCATTCCCATGTACGTGCGCCTCATTATTAGCATTAGGCAGTCTACGGCCTGATGGTGTTGATGATGAAACCCTTCTCTTCTATTTTTTTCTTTTCTTTATCACACTTCTAAACACGTCAAAATATATTCAGTTTCATGACCATAAATTGCGCTCTATATTAGTAAGGTCACAAAATGTTGTTGCATTATTTTCATTAATTATACATATGCATATGTTTAGGAAAATGGAGTTGGTGAAGTAGAACGATGTCTTGAATGCCCCGAATACACTTCAACTAACGATTTACTGGAACAGCTGAACAGAGTTTTGGAAGAGGCGGCCACCAACATAATTAAATTCTTGGATATCATTCAGTATACAGGATATTCCAACAATTTGGAGAACGCACTGCGCCAATGTGGCACTGATCTCGATTACAAGCAGCAGGATTTACAAAAAGAAGAGATGGTAAGTCAAATACCTACGAAAGAAAACTTGTTATTGGATTTATAATTTGAAGCTTTCAATGGGAAAGCTTCGTAGTAAGCACATTTTAATTTATATTGGGAAATATTTTTAAGAAATATAAAAATACAACTCTTTCTATTTTCGGGTTTATAACAAAACTTTTTATTTATTTTGCTCATAAATATGTAGAATTTAATAAACTATTAGGTAGTATTATAATCTTTACTGAAATACCATTTCATAAAATCTGGTCTTGTTTTGGCAGTGTCTAAAATTCGGTGATGTTATTTGAAAATACCTAGATATTAAAATTATAAATTTCAATACTAAATGCTGGTCACATGGAGGACCAAGTTAATCGGTAAACAATAATAAAATATAATAAATAAAACTGAGAATTTGAATTATTTCTTTATATTTATAAAAGTACATTTCGAGCATATGCGAAGTTTACGCACCGAGACTGCGTGGTGAACCTTTCTTTGAAATGAGATAAAGGCCTTTGCCCAGTTAAACGTATAAGCTGCTGTAACTTTAGCTTTTTAATATTTCGAGTTGTTATCCGAAAGATGCTGTCGCTCATTCATTACCTATTTCAATTTCCATCTGTCGCCTCTTACGATCCCCACGGGACGATATGGGGTGGTGGATTTTTTTATAATAAAGGGGACAAAATAGATTACGACTCACATCATGGTATGTAACTACCGCCGCCCATGAACAACTGCAACTTCAGGGGGATCAGAAAGGAGTAAGCTCTTTTCTTGAAGGTTCCTAAGTCATATTGGTAAGGAAAAATCTCTGGTGGTAATCAATTCTAAGAAAATATCTTTTAAATCACACAGTGGTGGACCGCCAGTTTAGCAACATCTATTCGCAGCGTAATTGGATCAAGCCTATCGGAAAGCACTCGGTCGTCGATGATTCGAGCCACTATGCACTGATACAGTCAAGTGGAAGGAGCTGGCACTGTAGAGCCCCAGCCCAGAGATGGGAATAGTATTCCATGTGAAGCTGAACTTACACCCTGTAAAGTTGCAGGCGGTGTGCCGGTATGAAATACTGTCCCGCTCTGCTGAGCAAGCTTTTTAGAGGCCAATTTGGCTTTCTCTTCCAAGTGACTCGTGGTCTACACGTCACTCGATATATTGACGGCGAGAATTCCGATACTGGCTGAGGCAAAAAGGGGAGGCCTTCAAACTGAAGAGATGCGACAAAGGGGTTCTTTTTAGCGGTAAACGTGCAAACTTATGTCTTTTGAGGATTAAACTGGACTAGATTAAGTCGCCTCCAATCCGGAACTTTGTACAGCAAAGACATGACTTCCGACACAAGTTTTTTCCGGTACTCGGCGACGTTTTCCCGAGAAATATTGGCACGGCCGGTGTACAGAGCATCACCAGTGCTGTCATTTGCATAGCAATGAATGTTGCCGGTTTGCAACATACCATTGATATTCAGAAGAAACAGCGTTGGTGATAGCACTCAGCCTTGTCGAACATCAGCGTTAATGGGCTTGTGATCAGGGCATGCACCGTCAACTACGACCGTGATGTTCTGATCAGCCAGAAACTGGTTATTCAATGGCAGTTTATAATGGATTCCATTATTTTGGAGAACAAGAGGTGCTGGCGATAGGCCTGTATTAGACGGATCGGGTGGACGAAAGCCGTCTTCCATGATCTCGCGACTACGCCTAGGGCGTAGAAGTACCGGAAAAGACGCGTTACTGGTGCCAACTCTGGAGCACACGTTCTCATCACAATTGGGAAGATTTTGTCAGACCCACTCACATTTTGAATATCTAGGGAGATGAGAGCTTTACGAACTGAGCATTGTGTGAACCGCACATCCGACATAGAACACTTGGGCGTTGGGTGGTCGACGGTGTGCTCCCCCCGTCATCGATTGTCGAATTGGACGTAAACAAAGAGCCTAGCAGATCGGCCTTCTTCATTGTGGCATGGGCCGGTGAGTGGCACTACCTGTGCAGAGATTTAAGAGATGGCTGACAGAAATTCATTTAGACAGCCTTGGCGAGAGATCAGAATGCACTGGTTCCAGAAGGAAGGTGAACTAGTTTCTCGCCAATTCTGTCTATGTGCTCTGTCTTTGCCTCGACACTGATTCTTTTGAAGGACCTGGGGGCGGAATTATACTTATATTTAGGGTGCTGGTGTTTAAATGCCAGGACGTTGATACATCTGCCCAGTCCCATTAGCACTCCTCCTTATATCAAGATACTATTTTATAGGAGGGACTAGACCATGGCTGAGACCTACCTCCGATGGGCACTACCGAGGAAATAATAAAAATTTCCATACCCTGAAGTACTACATCAGCGACAGAATTAGCAACAACGTTGGGGTCGTCCAGCGAGAAGCAAACCCACCCACAAGGGTAGGGTGCAAAGAAAGACCGCATTCTTTCCCAATTGACCGATCTATATTGCCAAAAACGGCGGCAGCCTGCAGAATGCAACTGCGATTTCAGCGTAAGGGGAACCACAATTCGGACTAGACAATAGTCCGAGGAGCCAAGAGGGGCGTCAACGGAGACCTGATATCTGCCCGGATGAGAGGTCAACAGAAGGTCCAACAGGGAAGCTGTATGATCCTCTACATATGGAATCCGCGTAGGCGAAGTAACCAGTTGTGTCAGGCCATTTGCCAAGGCAAAATCATGAACAAATCTCCCCGCATGATCGGTTAAACGCGAACCGAGTCATTCGGCGTGGTGAGCGTTAAAATCACCGAGGATTACGATCTCTGCGGATGGGATCTGCTATAACAAGGAATCTGTAGCCATTTGAACGTGATCGATAAGCCGGTCTGTTTCGGCATTACTGCTATGGGATACATAGAGGCACACGTAGTCGCGCGGGATGGTCATCGCTGTCTACGCGTAATCAAAATATGGACAAATCCAAACCTTCAAGACAGCCGAAGCGTCGAAAACAGATGTCCTCTCTGACGTACACGCAAGCCCCAACTCGAGGCACAAAGGAGCGTTCCAGTTTGTACCACGGGTAGGAGAGATACGAAGTATTAGACGGAGAGAACACCTTCGTCTCGGTCAGAAAGAAGCATGGTCATTTTCGCCGTCTCGAGATGATAGGGGACGGTGTTTAGGTTCGAGTGTTGTTCCCTGATATTGCGGAAATTCACGAATAGCGTGGCAGGGGTCACATTGGTCTTGTTGCTCAGCTTGCCCGCGCAATTATTGTCTTAAGCGAAATTCTGTCAAACGCCCGCCCCTGGAATACGCGGGGCAACGTGAGTACCCACGCTCAGGAGTGGAGTAGCTTGGTCATGAATGCTCAGCCAAGGATCATCAGGGTTCCTGGGTTAGTCTTACATTTAATTCCGCAATCATGTTAATAATGGGGGGGGGGGGTAATTGGGTATCCGACCACCTGCACTTATCAGACGACATGTGGAAGCTGAGGTATTCTGTAGTATTTATTCATAATATGTTAATGTAAAGTAAAAAAATTGTTAAATATCAGTGCCATAGGCTCCTATTCCGCTCACCTATTACACCATATTTTTTTCCAGACTGTGGTTTCAATGAAGTGCGTTATTAAAATCAGTATCAAGCGTATAGAAATATTTTTGATTTTTCAAAAAACACATGTAGAAAAAATAATTTTAATTAAAAAAAATAATTTGCAAATTGCATGTGGTTTTATTATCTCTGCATTGACCGAGAAGTAAGAGGATTGTCAAAGACCCCGCATTACCGATACTCGTGTGAGTTAAGAAATAAAACTACATACAATCTGCAAATATTTTTTTTTTAAATTAAATAAAAAAATATGGTCGAGTTTTCTGAAAAAAATTATTTCTATACGTTTGAATACTGATTCTGATAACGCAGTTAACGGGAACCACAGGATTTTTATTTCATGTTGCATATATAATTTGTGATTATTTTATTATTAATGTGTTAGAATAAAAAATTAAAAGCTTTATTTATTTCAAGTTATTAAAGTTACAGCCCATATACGTGGCCTGTTGGGCACAGGCCTCCCCTCATTTTGAGGGGGTTTTCGGTTAAGAGTCCTCCGTATAGTAGGGGAGCCGAGGGTGCTAAATCGAGATTTACTCGAGCGTCAAAGAGACCTATTGGATTGCGAAGCTTAGATGATAAGAAGAAAAAAAGTCATATAATATATACACTTTCATCGATGGGGGGAGCGGCTATAAATTTTCAAAAATGTAAAAAAACAGTTGCAAGGACATACTCGAGCGCGTCAGATATTAATAGCATCCATGTCCTACGTATTTTTGAAAGCATACGTATGTTAATCTAATTGTTTCCATGATGGGGGTGGTAGTACGTAAGGGTTGAAAACGGAAAAAAAATTTAATCGAGTGCGTCAGATTTTCAAAGGGGATGTTAAGTGAACCTAAAAGAAGGCTCTTATGTAATAATCTGACGATTTGGATGTGACCCAAACTCGCGGCCATTATTAGAATGTGCAAAAAAATCGCCATTTAGAAATACTCGAGCGCGTCAGATTAAGATATATATGGTTCATTTATATACCTTAAACGTGCTGTCCCATAATCTGACGATTATCTGGAGGGATTCGCCTAATCTGACAATGGAAAGAATGTTTTTTTGTATTTTTTCAAATATTTTAACTTAACAAATTAAAGAGCCGAAAAAATGCATGCAAAAAAAACAGTATATATTCTTTGAAGTACAAAACTTTTATTTATTAGAAAATAAGTATAAAAAATATAAATTTTTTGAGAATTTTTTTTCAATCATTATCTTCGTCGGTAGAATCATCTTCCTCTTCTGGCTCGATTTCATCCTCAGATTGCGTATCTGTAACAAGAAATCATGAGAGTATTAAACGAAATTTTTCTTCATGAATAACGATTTCTTCAATCATTGCAGAAAAAATATACCTAGTTCTGGAGTATCCTCAAAAATATCTGGTGTTATGACTACATCTTCATACGCTTTTGGCAATTGATCACCCGCAA